AGAGACTCGGCCGGATCTGGAGCCCAGAGTCTGAAACTCCCTCCTGATTGAAAACAACAACCGCGCCCTCCGCCGCCAGCCCGCTCAGCATGCACTCCGCACCTTAGTATTTCATTTCAGCACTGCACCTCCTCTGAGTCTGGGTATGATATTCTCTTTCCTCCTAGTTGTAGAATTTCCACTCAGCCAGCCTTCCTGTGGTTCTGGATGATGTCCATTCCGTCTTTTAGGTGTATTTTGATTTGGTTGTTCAAGGCAGCAATCTCCGGCGTTAACCTATGCCGCCATCTTGGTTTTTCCCTTACAATATGTTCTTTGTTAACAGATTATTAACTATGCCATGAACATTCAAATAAGTATCTATCTCTACTGCTATTCTACTGGAATCTAGAAACTGGAATCTAGAAAAATCACTAGGTGATAGCCATATGTTTTTAACTACATGTGTCAATACTTGACCAAAGCTATGAAAACAAATCACAAAATGAATCATCTTAGTCTTTCAAAAAAAAGTGGATAAACTCTCAAGATCTTAACCAACATACACCTCTCTCCACTCGGAGTATTTTAACCTTTGCAAGCAGAGGAAAATCTAATGTATAATAATAGTTGAGAACATGACTCTACTGAGGTTAGCATTAACTACTTTTGTTTTATGGATACTTCATTAGTCCATATATAATTCAACCCAACCCCACAAAACTCTTCCACAACTCATTAGTCAATAAATAATTATAATAAAAAAGTCTGTTGAGCATGATGCTTTATCAGACTGAAGAGATAGTTATTAAGTTATTCATTCTTCAACTTTTTTAATAGAAAGAATTTGCAGTGGAAGCTTTTTATTATACAAGCTATCTTTCAGGTCCTTGTCAGGTCATTCAAACATGCTGACAGGCCCCACTGATAGGCCATGAAATTTCATAAAATTATAGTTTATAAATTCACACAAAAGATATAGCAGCCTCAATTTTAGGAAGCTCACTTTTGTGGTACATGATGAAGAGCAAGCTACAATTTCTCAATATCATATTATAAAATTAACAGTGTTCAGTAACTTTAAAATAAAACCCTTCAAACTTGCTATTTTTAGCACTCTTTAAAAGTGTTATAGCCAGTCTGAGCCAGGATGGCTCATTGGTTAGAGTGTCGCACCAGAGGGTCTTGGGTTCAATTCCAGTCAAGGGCACGGTACCTGGGTTGCAGGTTCGATCCCTGCCCCAGGTTGGATCACATGTGGGAGGCAACCAATAGATGAGACACAATGATGTTTCTCTCTTCCCCATTCCCCGCTCCCTTCCACTCTAAAAACTCAATGGGAAAAATATCCTCCTCACTCTTCAGGTGAGAATTAAAAAACAAAAAGTGCTACAGCCAATTTATTCCCTTTTAAGTATAAAACACTTCATTATTAAATGTGGGGGTATCGTTACTTTTATAAAAGAATTCAAGACTTTTTGTGTTTTAATTATATGTAATTTTACCTCAAAAAAAAACTATAAACAAAAATTAAATAGTGAAGTATTTACAAGGGAGTGTACTGATATTTGCAATTCACTTTGAAATGCATCAAAAAATAAGATGGAACAACAGATGGACAGATATGTGATTATAAAAGTAGAGTAAAATCTCAATTGTAGATTCTAGGTGGTGGGTATATAGGCGTTCAATGTATAATTCTTTCAACTTTTCTGTATATTTGAATATTTTCATGATATAATGTTAGAAAGAAAAAGAGCTTAACATCCCTAAATTTGATACTTATAGCAGCCTTTGTGCTCTTAAAATGAAGAATAGTAGGAAATATAATAGCACACAATGATTTAAGACATATTATATGAAATAGGATACAAAATTATTAATAGAGGCTCAGTGCACGATATTCATGCACTGGGGGTGGGAGGGAGCCCCTCAGCCCAGCCTGCATCCTCTTGCAGTCCGGGACCCCCGAGGGGTCCTTAGAACTGCCACAGAGGCAGGAGAGGTTCCTGCCACCCCCAATGCACTCGCCAGCTGTGAGTCCGGCTTCTGGCTGAGCGGAGCTCCCCCTGTGGGAGTGCACTGACCACCAGGGGGCAGCTCCTTTGCTGAGCGCCTGCCCCCCAATGGTCAGTGCGCATCACAGTGACAGGTTGTTCAGCCATTGGGTCAATTTGCATATTAAGGCTTTATTATATAGGAGGAGTATTATGACAACCACGTAAAATATACATAGAAAAATAACAAGAGGAGCTGTACTAAAATATTAATAAAATTGTCCTAGGGTAGTAGGATTATGAGTTATTTTCCCACATCTGTGTCTAACTTTCTGTACTATAATTGTACTCGTAAATGTTTTCTATGCACATATAAATATACATATGTATATTTTGCAAGTGCAAAAACAAATGAGGGAGAGGGACTGCTATACCTAACTTTAAGAAAAAGAACAAAATATTTTTTGTAAAAAAAAAAAAGTGGGGGTGGGGGGGACTTTGGATTTACCTAACTCCCTGTCACATCCTAAGCTTGGATTTTGTTTTCTCTTGTTTTTTATTCAGATATGTCAACTGTGAATCTAAAATGTACCAAATCAATGTGGTCCGTCCATCACCCTTGTTTGTTTGTTTTTTATTGGTTTCAAAGAGGAAGGGAGAGGAAGAGATATGATAGAAACACCCATGAGAGAGAATCATTGATCGGCTGCCTCCTGCATACCCCCCACTGGGGACCGAGCCCATAACCCCGGCTCGTACCTTGACCGGAAATGAACCTACCAGGAATCAAACCATGACCTTCTGGCCCACAGGTGATGCCCAACCACTGAGCCACACTGGCTGGGCCCATCACTTATTTTTTACTCAAAAACAGATAAATGAGTCAACAGTGAACATAAATGTACCAAATCAACATGGTCCATCACTTTTATCCACATACTGGTGGTGTATGTAAGTAATGAACAGACTTACCTGAAATAGCCAGATGCAGTGCCTTATTCTCAGAATTCATAAAGAGAAGTAATATTCATAATGCAAGAAAGCATGCAAACCACTTTAGGAGAAAATAACTTATTACAACAGTAGTCTATTTTTTTAAAATCATTAGAGCTAAACCAAATATCTTATAAGTCGGCCTCTTGTAGACCCTAGCCTAATTGCCTGCCTATACCTAGGAGAATCTAGTAGGTTGAGTGAGCCCCAGTCTTTTTGAGATGGCATCAATAACCACGTTAAGTCACCAGCTTCTTTGAGTCACAAGGGATCACACAGATTTGAGACTCAGGCACTCTGACTTAAACAAGTTGCTTCATGTCTCAGGGCCTCACTCTCCCACTCTATAAAATCAGGGCCTACTAAGGTCCCTCCAGGGAAAAAATTCTCTGAGTGTCAGGCAACAGGGAAAATAGGCTCTGAGAAACTGAGCAAGGAATGGGTCTCCTTGAACTCCACCCAGCCTATCCTTGAATACAGAGAATCTGGCAGCATAATAACATGCAAATTAATGAAGAACAACTCCATAGAATGCTCTGCCTCCCAAAAGCATCTGAAGATACAATGTGGAAACAAGCAAACATATCAGCTCATATTACTAATCATGAGATTCATCCTCATTAAAGGGCTTTTTTAAACAAAATCTAGGCAATCCCTCCCCCTTAATGGACTCTAAACACACTATTAATTTCATTTTCAAAGCTTCTAATAAAGGTGGCAAAAATAGTTATTAAATATCATTAAGAAAAAAAACAAAGATAATACCTGGGTATATTTACTGTGTCCACATCTATTTTAACTATAAGTGACTTCGATTTCTTCCTAAGAGTAGCAGGTGAATATTCACTTTTACCAAACTGGTAACTGGAAGAGTTGTCCTCTCTTCTGCCATCTCTTTTTTTGTTTTTTTTCTTCTTTTGTTTGCCATTATAGGGACTCAAAATAACATTGCTTTTATCTGAATCAGTAGAGGGAGAACAGTCTTTCTTAGATGGCTTAGAAGCTTCTTTGACTTGCCCATCTACAGTCTCTCTGCCTCTTCTAGTATTAAAATAACTGGACTTTCTTTCTGCAAGGCCTATTTGAGAAATGTATTTTCTATCTTCCTCCTTAGAGTATTTCTGAGTTCTTCCATCAGAAAAGTCCTGGTCCTCATCTGAGGTCTTAGGATGTTTGTGGTGATAGTCCCTGGATACCTTGGTTGCTGAACTGGTCTCTGGGGAGTTCCTCCCAGCATGTCGATGAGTTTGGTGTTGAAGGTTCCACTGATCTTCCTTTTCTTGGTAATGTGAAAGATAATGCCCAGACTTCCGATGTGAGTTTCTAGAAGAGTCTCTGTTTTTGTACCTCTTCTTGCCTGTAGATCTTTTTGATGTGTGTCTGTATTTTCTGTAATCGTGATCCTCAGGATACCTGTGATGACATAAAGCAGTTTATACTCGCACTATAGAGAAGAAAGTGAGAGCTTCTATGTGTGGAGCATTGGGTAGCATGGCTTTAAATGGAGAATGCAGTGACAAAGTTACCCTCTAATCCAGCAGTTCTCAACCTGTGGGTCGCGACCCCTTTGGCAGTCAAACAACCCTTTCACAGGGGTCGCCTAAGACCATCCTGCATATCAGACATTTACATTATGATTCATAACAGTAGCAACATGACAGTTATGAAGTAGCAATGAAAATAATTTTATGTTTGGGTCACAACATGAGGAACTATATTTAAAGGGGCCAGAAGGTTGAGAACCACTGCTCTAATCCTTCAAGCCAACTCACAGAGGCTCAAGGTAGTTAGAAAGGAAATACCATTGTATTTTTAAATATTCTAGCTATCCACATGATTTACTCTAAAAAGAAATCACTACTACCAGTAGACATCTACATTGCAATGCTTCTGATCCTTTCAGACAAAAGCTTTTCAAGGTAGTTATCTTCAACTATAAACACACCTTTTTACTTGAGACTTTATACCAAATTACCCAGTTTTCATTTATCCTATACCTTGTCTGAAAAGAGCTCCTTTCCTCAAAATCTTCAGAGCCTCTTCTAAATGACTGAGAATATTCTTCATCTTGCATCATCTGGTAACTCAAGTCATCTTTGTACGACTTTTCTTCAAATCTAAAAGAATCTTCTATTGACCTCTGAGGCGATTGCCCTCCTTTTACACTTCTTCTAACTCTGTGGTCATCAGGAGAATACCTCTCTTGCATTTCCTCAGGATAATCACAGCAATAATCTTCATAGGGTACATCTTCTGAGTATTTGGACATATACTGAGATTTGCTACTGTCCCTTGTTTGTGGTGAATATTCTTGGTAAAGCTTATAAGAATAAAAATCGGCTAAAGAGCTTCTTTTGTCTGGAGAAGGTGATCTCTGTTCATACCATCGGTAATGTGCACTTTCATGAGAAGAAATCCTTGGTTTACTCTGTCCATGTTTCTTATCGTTCATTCTAGAAGTGGATCTTTTCAGATCCTTCCCATAGTCGGAGCAATAATGCTCATGAGAACATCTTTGCTTGTAGTGTTCAGACTTTCTAGGTTTTGGTGATAAAGACCTATGTAAACACAAAAAAGTTTAGCTCATTTAAAGACAATAAATTAAGTTTGTCTTAACATGACTTGCCCAAGTTTGTTTTCTACTGTTTCTCCAATTCAAATTAAATTCATGAATTTGCTCTATCTGCATTCTAAATTGTCCATGTGGGGGTCAGATTATGCTTGCCCCAATTCAACAAGCATACTCTTTCCATCTGAACTAATGTATCCCACCTGCACATTAAAATGGGCTGAGCACACCCTCCTGCTGGAAGAGGACCAGCTTAGCTACACAGCAGGTTCCATTTTTGGAAGATTGCTGTCAGCAAAGGTCTGTCAAAAGGACTGGTCAGCAAAACTTACATCAGATTCAATGGGTAGATAAGAAAAAGGCATAAGTATGCCCTGGCTGGGTGGCTCAGTCAGGTGGGGCATCCTGTACATCAAAAGGCTGTGTGTTCGACTTCCAGTCAGGGCACAAAGCCAAGTTGCAGGCTCAATCCACTGTCAGGGCAAGTATGGGAGGCAACCGATTGATGTTTCTCTCTCACATCAGTTTCTCTCTCCTTTCTTCTCTCTCCTCAATCAATAAAAACATATCCTTGGGTGAGGATTAAAAAATAAAAAGAAAAAGAAAAAGGCAGGAGGCGGGCTGGATTCATACAAATAAATATGTAGGATAATCTGGCAAACATAGCCTCTGAAATTAAATTAGATTCTAAGAGTTTGATGCCACATAAACTCAAACTCAGACCCTAACCTGACCCCACAGTTTCTCCAATTGTCTATCCTCTCTACTAAGCCTATATTAAGGAGCAAAAAATACATACTTAAATGGTGTGTGGAGGTGGGGGAAGAAGGGGGTCTTAAGACTTGAATCTTATGCTTGGTTCCTCCATAAATACTACTGACATAGTTGTTTTTTTTTCTCCCAGACCTATTCCCTTACACATAAAAGACGTGTTGTTGAAACATAGCTTCTAACTTTGGTGAATGTATGCTTTTATGCTGCTATAATGCTCCCTAGGGACAGCAGCACATCCTTTCTGTAACTCCCATCTCTAACACCTAGCATTGCCAACATTGAGCCTTTCATTCCCACTGAAGAGGAAGACTTCCATGTCCAGAGAAACCAGTCAGTCTAAGTCACCTAGACTTCAGGATAAGAGAGGGGAGCACCACTATCTGGAATACAATGAAGTTCAATGTTGCACCTGGGGATATTTCCTCCCATCTGACCTGTGCAAACTCCCCATCTCCTCCCTGGGGGTTTAATATCTTCTAACCATGAGGCTGCTACCCTTGCAGTTTTTGTCATCACTTCATCTTCAGATGCTGCCCGAGTTGAAAAAACCATGAATAAAACTCTTTCCAT